AAAAAACCCTCCGTTAAATCGCCCCTCCGAATATAAGTTCCCCGGGGACTTGTACTTGGAAATTGCCCTCGAATACAAACTAAAATAAAGCAAAAGCGGTCAATTTACTTCCAACTATAAGGCTAGCCCAATCGATTTTGAAACGCAAATTTCCCTCCATAGATAAGCCCCTCCGAATGTAACCCCCCCAAAAATAAGCCCCTCAAAAAGGGCCTTTGAAAAATATAAGCCCCGGGGCTTATTTTCAGAATTTTACGGTAGGCCTAGTACGAGAGTTGCTTGCTCCGCTCCTAACAATATAAGGAGCCCATGGGCTGTGGGCTCTTGACAATGTTCTGGAAGCATTTCCTTGGGACCCTCTTAGCAGCTCGCACTTTCGGCGATCGACGGGCTCATTTTCTACCCTAACCACGCTCTTAATGTTACGAATCAACAGAGGATAAACGTAACATCTTTTTCATGACATATTACTCGTTGCTTTTGGTTTCAGCATCAAGCCTGGAATGCTTTGCATGTGTAAGCAAAAAGTCCTGGGGCGACTGCACTTCAACCAAGACCCAGTGTTCCTCTGTTGAAGATCAGTGCATTAAAGTCCACTTCATGGCCGGTGGAGTAAAATCTTTTCAAAAAGGTTGTGCACCCAAGATAACCTGCGAAAGTGCTGATAATCCGATCTGCAGGGAAGGCACTGGTGGCTCGGCCACGTGTGATATTTCCTGCTGTGACACAGATAACTGTAACGCAGGCTCAATGATTGCAGTCAGCAGTCTCCTGCTATTGGCGTGCGCAGTAGCATCACTATTGGTTCTTGTTCAGGCTTGAAATAACAGTGAAATAAAAGACTTTTGCGGGTGCTCTGATTTTTCTTTACAAACTACATTTTCCAAAGAGATAAAAAGGCAATGTTGGGCCCGGCCTAAAAGAACTGTTTTTTCTTGGCGGTTAAAAGGAGTCTTAAAAAGTAAAGTGATTTTCTTTTGCTTTTGGCGCTAAAACATGCTGCTTTGATTGATCGATTAAGTTGCTCCTTTATTATATTATATTCAGATTTACGACAGTCAATGACTTTGGCCTAGATTTCTTACAGAAGTTATCATATTTACTGTATTTTCAGTTTTTTCTTTTACATAGAAGGTTCACGTATAAGCGCCATTCTTTTAATTATTATCATTATTGTTTGAACATTTTTGTAATTAGAATTAAATATTGCTGTATGAATTAAACGATTTAAAAATGTATACAGTGTATTCACAAACTCTATAAAAACAGTCATTTAAAACAGCATATAGCTTCATCCATATTTTTACAGAAGAAAATTTTAAAAGCTCAGTATTGAAAATTCTGCCTATTTAGTTTTCATATATTTGCCGAAAACTTTACGAGCGCCCTTCTTTGTTTCATTTGTAGTATCGTAATTATCTGCATTTTTAGCCTCCTTAGCGGGCGAAAAAAAAGGGGGGAAAGAAGAGGGGGAGATGGAATAGCAAAAGATAAAAGGGAAAGGGAACGCCTTCCATAGGCTGGTTTTCACTCGCGATGGAGTCGGAGTCGAAATCGTAAGCGGAGTCGCGTGAAGGCTGGTTTTCACTAGCGACGGAGTCGCAGTCGCAGTCGTAAGCGGAGTCGCAAGAGGGCTTATGATTTTGTGAAAATCAAAAATCGCAGTCGTAAGCGGAGTCATAAGCACGAGACAGAATTGGAGTTATAAGAATCACTTCTTATCATCTAGTGAAAACCAGATAGTCGGAGTCGGAAACAGAGGCGGAAGGATAAACCAATTTCAAGGCACGTTCCCACGCTTTGTGATTGGTTTAGACCTTCCGCTTCTGCTTGCGACCCCGACGACCCAGGTTTCACGTGATCGTAAACGACAGCCTCGTAAGCGGAATCAGTATGCTGTTTTCCCTAGAACGTAAAGTTCTACGCCTCTGATTACGACTCCGACTCTGACTCCGTCGCTGCGGTGTTTTTGCATTCCGCCCACTAATGTCCTAACTAATCCGATAACGTCAACTGTCAGTGCGTGACCAATCACAAGTAGCGAGTGCTTCTCAGCCTGCATCTTGGTTGTTTCTTACTAAATCACGTCAAAAAGCTACTCAATGTAACTCAACCAATCAGAACATTTGCGGTAGCCAGCGGCCTCAGACAGGAAGAAAAGGGGGTTCTTATAGCAGGCGTTCCTTTCCTGCTTTCTTCAATCCCCTATCTCTTTTCCCCAATTTCTAACTTTTTTAAAAAAAATTAGCTTTATTTTATCTTGGCATATTCTATCACAAAAAGTTTGCCCCATCTTGACTGAGTTTAAAAATCTATTTTTATTTTAAATCAAGCCACTTCCTCAAGCTTTTTAGCCTCTTCGTCTCCTGACCACGTGGAGGAGGTGTAGCTATCCTGACGTTTGTAGCACAGCAACATAAAAGGTATAAAAGATCCTGCTATAGTGATACCACCAGCTACTTGAAAAGGGATAACGTACGAACCCAACATGTCTGCTGCCATACCTAAATAATTAAAATGAAACGACTAGGATGAAAGCTTTGATATGATCTGAGATCAAGCAGAGAATATATTTCTCAGAAACGTTTGGTTCTCAGCAAGTTACCGAAAAGCGCCGGGTAAATTCTCTAGCAGAGAATTCGACATCGGGCTATGAATTTCTCCACTACACCAAAATGCAGCAAAATTCAGAAGCTATATTGTAGGTGGAAGTGCACCTGCCTGCTGCAGCTAGTTCATAGTTAAATAACCAGAAAAAGGATCAGAACAATGATAGGAGGTCAACTAGTTTGATATTTAAAAGCATTGCCGAGAATTCAACACGCGACAAGACTAAACATGGAACCCAGAACCCCTGCGGATTGTACTGAGTCAGAACTCGCTAACCAGTCAACCATACCACCATCCCATATTTTAGACAGAAACTTGCCGCAATTAATGATTATTCCAGCGATTACGTAATATCGTTCACTGTATATCTCAGACTTGGTCCTGACGTTCTCAACTAACCAGTCATAAAGCTTAGATCAATTATCTGGGTTCTGGAGAACATAAAGTTATAAGGTTTGATACAATCGTCCAACCTTACTTGTATCATCAAGATACACCATGCTTGCTTTAAAGGCAACAATGGATTGCTTTGATACTGTACAAAATACATGAGCAAAACGAAAATGGGTACAAAATCGATAGTCGTTCCCCAAAACAATCACATTTCAAAAAATTCAATCAAATTTTAAAGCTGGGGTTACTTTTTCAAAAACAAGGGAAATATATATATACAGCGCGTTGCATCAATACAGTGACTAGGAAAACTAAAACAATCGCCTGTTGCAGGTTTTCATTGTAACCTGTTTCGTCAGGCTTCAATGTACAGTCGAACCTCCGCTATAACGGCCACCTCTCTACAACGGCCACCTCTTTACAACGGCTAGTTTCTTCTGTTCCCAAGGTGGCCGTTGTAGAGAATTTCAACTTTAGTAAAATGCAGCAGTGCAGTAAAAAGTGGCGCGAAAAATGAGCGGGAGTTGGTGAGAGAGAAGATGCCCATCACAGCCACCGGCCCCTTTCCTAGATCCCGCGCGTTTTATTTTCGCTTGGCTTGTTTTATTATCGCAACGTCCCTATTATCTGAGAGCCTGGCAAAGGCTAACATAATTGCAACAAACTAAAATAGAAACGATCGCCTGCGAGGCGTGGAGGCTACTTAAACCCTTTTCACTTTCTGTCTTTTCTCGTGGCATTTGCCGTGAACGCCCGGGAGCCTAGCAGAGTCTACTACTAACAATCTTGCTAACTTCTCTTGCTAAGAATCATCGTAGAGATGGAGAGCAGGTACTTGGAAAAATAAATAAATAAATACCAATTTAAGCCGACTGAAGCACACGTACCAACTCCGCGGTATGTCCAGTACCTTACCCATGCGCACAACCATATCACCCCGGTAGTAGCAGCCATGGTGCTTCAGTGTTTAAATTGGTACCACTAACAATACAAGCTAATACACATACCAGCCAACGGAGGACCACTAGCCAGGGTCAAGGACGCTAACAGCATCTCCCATCCGAGAACTGCAGGAGTCTTCAAAGGACAGGCAGTCAGAAGATTGATACTTAGACTGGTGAAGAAAAAGCCATCGCTGAGTCCGTAAATCACAATATAAACGACAAGCCAGGAGTAAGAAGAAGTTAGAGTTACAAGAATTGTGCTTAGCCCTGCCACAAATTCGGCTGCCTGGAAGATGAAGAACGCATTTATTCTCCTGTGGCTGCAAAGAATGCCAGCAAGCACGCGACCAATAGCAGAACAACCACCGTAGTAAATAAAGAGTTTTGATGCTTTTTCAGCCGAAATCCCAAGGTCTTCACAGTAACGAATCTAAAAGTAATATAAATAAAAAATTGTTGAATTGCAGGTTAGGAATGAAATAAAAGTGAGTCAGATAACACCATTACTCTGAACCTCATGGACCCCTGAAGCTTGTATGGACTGTTTCCCCAGAATAAAGGTTATTTTCTATTACTTGAAAAAACTTTTTCATTCAAAATTTTTGTCAAATTGTTCTCGTTCTTACAAGTGTAGGCATAATTTATTTAAAGAAAAAGGGCTTATTTCCTTGAGAACGTCATCTAAACTACACTGGGAAAATATGGCATACAAGCAAAGAAGGTAAATTGCCTGGGTTTCTTTGACACTTTTATGCATTTACTGTATTACAAAGTCGAACTACACAAGCATTAATCAGAGACGTATAAACTCATACGTAGCCTGCGAGAAAGCTATCCAGGGAGCTCTGACGGGGACGAGGGGCCAGGCCGCCAAAGGTTCCCGGAGAGCTTGCTCGAAAGGCTAACTAACCCATACGAGGCATAACTTATCTGCTTTTCTTACCGACTTGTGATATCTTGTAGTATATAATGAAAAGTGACACTAATAAGGACTCATCCACACGTATCCGGATATTTTTTAATCCCCAACTTTTTCTTTCCGGATAAAGCTTCCGTACAGACGTATGCGATGAATCCCGCATACGAATCCCGAACTTTTTTTGAATCCGCTCTCAAGAGTGAAAAGTTTTGAATACGCTATGAATCCGGAATCTTGTGGACGGTAAATCAGGATATTTTTTAGCCGGTGAGGTAACAAAATCGAGCCCAGTTCTTTACCGTGAAAGGCTGAGCAAGATGCAAATTTCACGCGCTTTACGACCCATGCTCTGTTGCCAATATTCCCAGAGGAGTCCTGGTACTAGAGTGAATCCGGATACGGGTTGGATACGTGAAGTACGAGGAAATTTTTAAATCCGGGACGAAAGAGTTGCGGATTCAAAAAAAAAAAAATCCGGATACGTGTGGCCTAAACTGATTTCCAATTATAGCAATATAATCACTTTATCTTACCAAGTGAATCTGCGGAACAAAATGGCCAAACTCCACCACACAAGCAGCAAGAACGATAGCTATCACTGGAGGCACTTTCCACACGGAGAAATCAAAGATCTTCTTCATTTTGGTACGAATTAAACTATCGTTTTCACCCTCCTTGACTTCTTCTCTTTCGCCCTTATCTTTCTCTTCAGCATCTTTCTCCACGTTGGGATCAAACGTTATGGCAAGCGAACAGAGAACAAAGGCAACGCCAGCCATTATACGATAAGCATTCTTCCAACCAATGGCTCTTATGAGGGCCTCCAATGTGGGTCCCATAATTAGTACCCCACCGCCATGTCCACCTGTCAGTAAACCAGTTGCAAGCGACTGTCTCTTCTTAAAGTACTGGCTTATTACAACCAGACCTGCCGAGAATACACAACTGGAGCCCAAGCCAAACAGAAGACTGTACGTGAAGAAAAGAACCTTCATGTTGTCTACAAAGGAGCTGCATATCAAACTCACTGTGCAAAATACTCCGCCGATCAGAGTAGTGATGCGGCAACCAAACCGCGTGACAAGAGCATTCGACACTTGTCCAGTAAAGAAAGTTATGGCTATGGCTAAAGAACCAACCCAAGCTGCAGAAAAATACCAGAATAATAAATGTCAAGTTCCACGTTATTGGAAATCAGTTACTATGAACCAGCAAATAACAAANATACGATAAGCATTCTTCCAACCAATGGCTCTTATGAGGGCCTCCAATGTGGGTCCCATAATTAGTACCCCACCGCCATGTCCACCTGTCAGTAAACCAGTTGCAAGCGACTGTCTCTTCTTAAAGTACTGGCTTATTACAACCAGACCTGCCGAGAATACACAACTGGAGCCCAAGCCAAACAGAAGACTGTACGTGAAGAAAAGAACCTTCATGTTGTCTACAAAGGAGCTGCATATCAAACTCACTGTGCAAAATACTCCGCCGATCAGAGTAGTGATGCGGCAACCAAACCGCGTGACAAGAGCATTCGACACTTGTCCAGTAAAGAAAGTTATGGCTATGGCTAAAGAACCAACCCAAGCTGCAGAAAAATACCAGAATAATAAATGTCAAGTTCCACGTTATTGGAAATCAGTTACTATGAACCAGCAAATAACAAAAGTGTACCAATATTTTTGAAATTCAGTTGATGCAAAGACACATTTTAGATTTCTACAACTGAAATAGTAAGTAGCGCGACATAAATACGTAGCAGTTTAATGATAGCATTTTTCTTGTGAAAGCAAGGGATGGTAAATTGTAGTAGCACATAATTAGATGTCGCACATGCTGTAATAGCTGCTTTTAAACATTGAAAAAAATTGGTTTTAGCGAAGCTCTCTCACCGAAAAAAAACTATTTTCTTATGTCTTTTGTTTTTGTTCGATGGAGTTAATATAGGACGCTATTTATGTTCTGAACTGGAAAGATACCAACATGGTCCAATACATTTGTTAATCACGCATGCAATTTCCAACATGCAGAGGCTGCTATCTACTAAATGTAGTCACGGTTTTAAAATTTTCAATCAGCAGACTTAGAATTCTTTAGATTGACCCCATTCCAGAAAGAGTATACATGGAATAAGCTATAAAAATCACTTGTTTTGACTTCTTTGCATAGTGAATTCCCCGTTGGTACTTCCTATAATGGCTTATACAGGAAGGCCCCTCCCGATATGAGTACAGTATACCTTTTTCAGCTTTCTGGCATGTGAAAGGGTAGCTATACCCTTCGAGCAGAGGCCCTTCGATCGAAGGGCCTCTGCTCGCAGGGTAGGGTAGCTAGGGTTTTACTAGTTAAAGTATATGAAAGAGAAGGGAAATCTGTCATCTCGGTCTGTAAAAAGACCCTAAGGACTCATTTTTGGCCGCGAAAGAGACAAAAACACTTAATTTTAAACTGGGTTTAGTGATTTATTGATAAGATTATTATTTACAGCAGTTAAACATCGAGATGCGGTGCACTGAACTAGGTAAAGGAAAGGGGTATTCGTTTGTCGAAAGAAGGTATACGAAAAGTGGGGTACCTATTCTGTCAAAAATGGCAGGGGGTAGGGGCTTGGACATCGGGGCGGAGTCTCACCGTACAAAACTTCGTTGAATGCCGCCCGGGTAATATCCAGTAATACGACGGACATGAATAATTAAGCTCATATTTGACCAAAAATTTATGCGTATTCTTTTTCCCGAAAACAACCGGCGTTGTTTCGGTCGCCATAAAATTAAAATCGTTACATGAATTACGAAATGTCTATGGACTTACTGACCTGTAGCTTCCCTGGATTCGTTAAAATAATCCATAAACACAGGTAAAAATATCCCAAAGCTGAAGAGAAGGCCGAGCGACGCAACCCAAGTCATCAAAGCACAAGCACAGACCAACCATGACCAAAGACTGTCTCGTTTGCGAGGAGAGCCGGAAGAAAAACAGCCCCAGGTCTTAACCTGAATCGCCATCAGTTTGTCCGGCGTTGTTGCAGTTATTGAAAAAATACGATTCACTGTAAAAAGCAATGATTAATGAAGAGATATGTTAAAACCTGCACAGCCGACAAAATCCTGCCTCGATGGCCATCTACATTGTCTGGTCTACAACATTATGTGCATAATTAGTCTGCGGTGTAAACAAAACAACCCGTACCTGGAAAGGACCGTCAACGTACTTTCGAGAGGCCAGTTTTATGCCCTTATCCTGGCTGTCTGACAAGGATGGCAAGCGAAAGTGCCGGGCTCTCTGTTTATATCAAGATACCGGTAACGCCTCCCAACAAATAAACCCTACATGCCCAGGCGCAGAAATCTGATATTTTTTCCCTCCTGGACCTTCCATGTCACTCACCATGGGTCCTTTGCAGTGATCAACCAGGGTTTCCAGGGGTTTTTTCACGCGGATGGCTTGGTTAAATTTCTGGTTTTTTATGGGGGTATGGTGAGGTAGTCATGGCTCTTGGTCGCAGGACCGTGTCTGCGATCAAGCGTTTTTTTCTCTGGAATGCGAAGTTTTCCCCTTTACCCGCTACTTTCGCGCTCCCGCGAAATACAACGAACACTTGACTGAAGGTTACCATCTATGAGGAAAAACAGTGCACTTAAGCTTTGTTTTGAAAAAATAATTAAGAATAGCTGAAAGAAGCTCAAATCGATTTTGGGGAAGTTACATGGGCAAATGCACCTCCTTTGTAGCAATCCTTAATTTACTTTCTACTCCTTTGCTTGGTTGTTTTGCTTTTTTTGGTTTCGGTACGCACGTGACGGTTGTGGCGTAAAGGTAACTACGCCAGCTTGTCCCAGGAGAGGGGGTGGGGGGAAGTGCTCAAAAAAGTATTATACGGGGAGGCTCCGCGCCAAAACCCTTTTGACTTTTATATACAATTTTTGACACGGAAAGGTACCCCTTTCCTATACCTTCTATTGACATATGGTACCCCTTTCACATACCTAGTTTAGAACTTTGCATCCCTATGCACTCTCCTTAGAATATGAATAAATCACAAAACCAGAAAACTTCTTTACTTTTCCTCTTTATATACTTCAGCTAGTAAAACCCCTACCCTTTTATTTACCTGAAGCTTGTAAAAGGTACCCCTGGCCTGTAGTCGGGCGTAGCCTCCCTGTATAAGTGAGTCACTAGCGGCTATTTTGATAAAACGTAACACCAAAAGGTATATTAAAGCTAACGTCTGGCGTTTTACTGACGGTTTTGGAAGTTAAGAGTTACGTTCGAGGGGAAAAGATCTTGCCCTTACACTTTTAAATTTTAAGGTGCAAGACCATTGCAAAAATCCGTGTATGATCGGATCAACCTTGGATAAAAAAGATCGCGATCAGTCAAATCTTAGTTTATGGCTGTATCTATTTATTGTTAAACTAACATATAATGAAAAGACTAAATTAAAACACTGAAAAGTCAGAAAAGTTTTTCCATGTTGTTTGATCAGTCATTGCGGTTGTCTTGAATGTGATAATTTATTCTTCTATTTATTCTTCTTTTCATTATATGTAGGTTTAATAATTAATTAATAATTAATTTTAACGAAATATTTTCCTTAATTTTTTCTGAGCTGAGCTCGACGATCCTTCGCTCGCCAGTCCTGGCGTCACCCCTTGCGCACCCCTACCCCCTTCCCCCCGTCTAAGCCCCCGTCAGGAATTCAATCACCAGCTTTGACACCAGTCCTCCCTCTCGCAAAGGTTGCGCAACCGGTTAGGGAGAGAAGCGACGACCGGAAATGCGTCTGCGCTTCGCAGGCTATGATAAGTCATGTCATGATGCAAAGTGTATGGTATAAAAGTCCGCGTCTTCTGAGCTAAACTCAAACTTCAAAAGCACGGTAAGATACCGATTAGCACCTGAGCAGTATTTTTTCTGTATTTTGACCAACTGAAAGTGTGCTGTACGTGGTATTGTTGTGTTTTGGTTCGGTCAGTGAGGGCGAGGGGTCGAGGGCAGAAATTTGTACCTATCGAATGCTAGCAAAGTAGAATAATTCCGTACAAAATTAAATATGGCAATCGGTATATAGGTGTAAGCAGTTTTTCTATTCTTTTCACGAAGTTGTTTTCAGGATAAACAGATATTTTGTTGGTGTAACGTGGGATGAATGACCTATCCTCGGGCCTCTCCCCAGTTGGGGAGGTCGGAAAAAATACCTCAGTAGTTTAGATGGTGGATAGCACAATCCACGGAATGAATTTCTATCTAGTGGATAATATAATAGGCTATTTCCGAGTTGCTTCAAGCCTCTGTGTCAAAGCGAGACTAAGTGCACAGCTATTGATATGAAAATGTTTTTTTTATTCATGCAAATAGCACTCATTTTCATAAGTAAGGTTTTGCACATCAACCTCGTTTTGAAAGTGATAGTTTTTGGAACCCGAAATTGGCCTATTGGTTTTCCCAAAGCCTGGTTTCCATTTGATCCTCTGGATTGTCTTGATTACCCCAGCTGTATAAAAAAAGTTCAAGACAAACAGATGTTAGGAAGATTGGTGATTCAATATAATCGCCTTCATGGTCTCAAAGACTGGAGGTGCATGGTCATCAGTGATATTTCTGGGTCTGACAATGGAAAATCACCTCCTACACAACCTAAGGGAAAAACAGATCCATTCCCGAAGAGGAAAAGCAAATAATTACCTTATTGCATGAAATTTTGGTCACATTTTAATGTAGCGAATTTAAATGCACCAAAATTAAGTGTCACTAAATTTAATTTGTCACTAAATTGTCGCTATCTGGTCAGTTCCACACATATGCTATTTGACGGTCGATTATGACGTGCATCATTGTGACAATGTAACTTAAATAAGACTGAGGACAGCAGTTTCAGAATGTTGTATGATTTTGATTTAAATGAAGCTATTGATGTTTTTGATTTCATCTCATAAATGTTCCATTGTCATCCTAAAAGTTTTGAATACCCTAATTTGCCAAAGTTTCAGTTTGTGAAATCACAAAAATTAAGTGACTATAGGTTCCAAAATTTACAAAAGATCACTTAATTGAAAATCGCTAAATTAATGTCACAAAATTTCATGTAATAAGGTATAATAAAATTATTATAAAACCAGGCCAAGGGGTAGATCCATCCAAATATGATATGCACAACATTGTAATAATTATTTTTTTTACCGATGATAACACAACCATTTCCACCTAAGTTTCCACAACTGACAGTATAATCCACAGTGACTATGTTTAAACATAATATATAAAATTATTTAAATTGCAGTTTCAATCTACCAAGAGATATGTTCCATTTGCTTCACTGTTGCCTGAAAGCAACACATAAGCAAGACTCAAGATGGTCATTAGTTGTTTGCATTTCTGCAACTTTTACACAAATCATAAATATTGGCATCTTACGGAGCTCTGGAGTCTTGTTTCCAGTGTTAATGCAAGAGTTTGGAACAACTCGTGAGAGAACAGGCAAGTTGCAGATCAATAGTCTTCATCACAGAAATAATAATAATAATACAGTCGAACCTGCATTAAGCGGCCACCCTCGGGGAATGGCTAAGTGACCGCTTAATACAGGGTGACGGCCTAATACAGGTTGCAAGAAATACAGTTCAAAGAATTAGATCTCCAGTGCTGATCAGAACAGATGCTTGTCCTCAAATAGAAATATTCATTTCTGGTGTTTTAAGGATTTGCGAAAATAAACAAGGAAATCAATAATGTTTTACCTGGTGTGTTCATTATTTGAAACTGTATGAACGCCATGTGACCGTTTAATACAGCTTAAGACAATAGAAAAAGTTTTGTTTGGACTTCGCAAATGGTGACCGCGACAGCTTAATACAGGTCGAAATTACAGTACATCAAGTAATTTCCGGGACTCAATTTGAAAACTGACCGCTTAATACAGGGTGACCGTTTAATACAGTGCCGCTTAGTACAGGTTCACAAATTTGTATTAAAATAAGTGCCTAGGATTAATTCTTCTTTGCATTGCCAGCTTATGGGAGCTTAGAAATAAACAGAAAAATAAAAATAGTTATTTTAACCCTTGCCTGTGTGTCTGCAGTCATTAACAATGGAATGGCATGCCCTTACTGGAATGAGACTAATAGATTAAGTTTGTTTGAGACTTCAAACAAGATTTTGCTAAGCTTGCAGTCATCAGTAGCGCTGTGCATATTGTGAGAGCTTTTGACTGTGCCATATTTTTTAGAAACTTAATTTATAACTGAGCATGATTTTCTCATGATTTTCATTGCAGCGTGGGTGAGTTCTCTTGCCTTATCAACATCACTGTTGGCAGCACCATTGCTAGGACACCTTAGTGAAAAGTTTGGATGTCGACTGGTTGCCATCAGTGGAGCGCTGACTATTATGATGGGGCTTGTAACCTCATCATTTGTACAAAACTTGGAATTGTTATACTTCACCTATGGTGCTCTTACGGGATTGGGCGCTTGTGCTTGTCGCACCTCAGCATTTCTTGTAGTTGCCATGTACTTTAACAAAAAGCGCTCTTTTGCTACGGGGAGTGTTACAATGGGGCCTTCATTAGGAATGTTTATGTGGGGCCCTATTGCACAGGTTCTTCTTGATTCAGTTGGTTGGAGAAATACTTTTAGGATCATGGCAGCATGCTGCTGTCTGATTATTATTGCTGCTGTAACTTATAATCCTAATGTGGAAGAGAAAGACAAAATATTAGAGAAAGTTGAAAGTGGAAAGGAAAAACATGAACTAGACAATAAGGTACACGGTGCAATGCTTCAAACCAAGAAGGAAAAAGGAAAAATTGTTGATTTATCTGTGTTCATGATACCTCAGTACTGTATACTGGTGGCGTCATTTACATTGATGTTCCTGTGTCGCTTTATTCCTAATATTCATTTGGTAAGTCATATTCATTGTTACTTTATGGTATTATACCATATAATGACAAGGGTAGTACTCAGATACTCCCTTAGCTTCCCAACAGAGTGTACCAGTTTCATAAAGTATTTTTGATGTAATATATCAAGGCTGGATGATATGCTGTGTTTCATCACCAGATGAGTTTGAGAAGTTCTCTTTGCAACCACTCTATGAAGTTAACAGCTCTAGTTATGACCAGCATGTGAAACCCCAGCCAGTTACCCTCAATGGCTTGAGTTCTGTAATGGAAAGCTGTCGTAACTGACTGTAGAAATTACTTTTTGTTGAATGAAAGCATTTCTTAACTTCTTGATCAAATTTAGGGTTCCATAATACATATTAGCACTAACTAGTGTTTCGTTAACTTTGCAAAATGAATTAATAAAATCAGATCTTTTTGATATCATTTTTCCTGTCATAAATGTATGGTAAACAAATGCCATAAGCTTTTGCTGAAAGCCCTTGCAAGTGACCAGCCTCAGTAAGTTTATCTTCTGGTCACTTAAGAAAGCCCATGATCAGCTGTGTAGTTGGGACCACTATTGGATTCCCGAGGCAGTCACTTACAATAGGGAGCTTTCATTGAAAGTATATTCAATCAAGTCCCATGACTGAACTGCAACATACATGCAATGCAGGTATGATAAAGGGTGTAAATGGTAACTCTTTTTGGCTCTAATAATAGTAATATTATATTTCAGTCCCAAAGCAGTTAATTTTAAATTTCTTTAGCAAATCCTCCAGTCTGTATTTGATGTTTCTGGACCCATCCAATCCAACTTCCATATTCTAATCCACCCATTAATTATAGGCACACGATTCTGTCATTCTTTTTTCTGTTCCCTTAATGGCATGTTAAAAGTTTTATGTTTCTCCTAAATCTGTGGTTTTTCAGGTTAAGTACAGTGAAGAGCTTAACATCACAGCCGAGAAAGCATCCAAGTATTACATGTTTTTAGGCTTATCATCTGCGGTAGGGAGACTATTATCTGGAAGACTGTGTGACGTCAAATGCATCAACATACAATATGTAAACCAACTGGCAATTGCAATTACAGGCGTGGCTACTGTGCTACTACCACTGGCCAGAACTTTTGTTTCTGTTGCATTTTACACTGTGGTTTTTGGGTTTGCTGATGGAACATTTATGACAACACAAAATGTAATTCTTCTTGGTATTGTTGGTCCTGAAAGAAGAGCAACAGCCTTTGGTTTTGGAAATATGTTGTGTGCCTTTGCAGTGGCATCTGGTCCCCCTTTAGCTGGTGAGTGATTACCCCAGGGTGTTCCGCAGGGGTATAGAGAGAAAAGGGCAAACACAATAGTAAAATAGCGACAGTGACATGGCTTCCTCCTCAAGAGACATGAAACAACAGGTTTTGAAATTCAGACTAGGGACATATGTACCCCCCCACCCACCCACCCACCCTAAGAGGACCTCATTGAAGTGTCAATGTATTGAGCACAAAAGTACTAGTTGAGGACACTATTGTGATGTCTCCTTTTGGAGATGGGACCACCTTTTTTATGTGGTCATCCATGCCATGCAAAGGTCCAGTAATTTGCAGTGCAAAGGTAGTACCTTCATTTCTCGCTTATTTTGATACTTTGAGTATTGATCCAGCCCTGGGAATTGAACCCACAACCTCTTGCTCTGCAATCAAGCACTCTACTGACTGAGCTAATCCTCCTGAACAAAGGGTACACAACTGTATTTAATAATTAATTTTTCTAGGTGAAGAAACATTGTATTTTATCTGAGATTTTGAACCTTAGGTTGGCTGCAAAGTAGCAATCTAAGACTTCTATACTTTTTTTCACCAGGGCTTATAGCAGATAAACTAGGTTCATATCAGTTTGCCTTCTATGCAGCTGGGTCATTGATTCTCATCAGTGGAGCTGTACAGTTTCTTCTTCTTTGCTTCAAGTCAACTGCTAAAGGTAAACAAACACAAAGGCAGCTTGTAACCATGGTAACNTGGGAATTGAACCCACAACCTCTTGCTCTGCAATCAAGCACTCTACTGACTGAGCTAATCCTCCTGAACAAAGGGTACACAACTGTATTTAATAATTAATTTTTCTAGGTGAAGAAACATTGTATTTTATCTGAGATTTTGAACCTTAGGTTGGCTGCAAAGTAGCAATCTAAGACTTCTATACTTTTTTTCACCAGGGCTTATAGCAGATAAACTAGGTTCATATCAGTTTGCCTTCTATGCAGCTGGGTCATTGATTCTCATCAGTGGAGCTGTACAGTTTCTTCTTCTTTGCTTCAAGTCAACTGCTAAAGGTAAACAAACACAAAGGCAGCTTGTAACCATGGTAACTTCAGAGAAGCTTGGGAAGATGACGGGCGAGTGCACAGATGATAAGGAATATTTAGCAAGTCTTTATGTGCAGTCTGCACTAGAAAAAAACAATGGAAAGACTCCTTTAATTCAAGCTTTTAATTAGTGTTAATTCAATTCAATCTATTTATGGACAAGAAATGCATTATAATATTATTTACATATACCTGTACTTTACCATTATTTATATAAAAAACTGTTACTAGAAATGAGGTATTAGATTTTCAAACGGCCATTCACTTATTCATCATGCTTAACATAGACAGTCCTGTCCCATTATGGGTTTCAATTGCTAGAGTTTTATGGGGAATTGCTTGGAAATAAATGGCTCAATAATAATAATAATAATAATAATAATAATAATAATAATAATAATAATAATAATAATAATAATAATAATAATATAATACCATGAATTAAAATACTAGTAGTATAAAAATATTATTATTATAATTTCATTTGATAAAATAGCACAATAACTTTTCTGGTAAATTACTTAATGTACTTATAAAAATATCATTATTTGTTTGGAATCTATCATAATGATTAAAACTGGCCCCATAATACATTTTTTTGTTTTTAAATAAATATTTTGACAATAATCTCATTTGATAAAATAGCAGAATCAATAGCAATGTTATTATTTGTCTATAATAATCAGTTTGAAATTTTTCTAAATTATCTCTGACCTCTCTTTTAAATAAATGAATTTTAAATCATGATAGTTTTCGATACTATACTATAGTGCAGACACCTAAGGTGCAGAGCCAAGTGACTGTTTTACAGACTGAGGTATATTGTAGAGGTATTAAAGCAATGTATGAAGATTAGTACCATAAAATTCCAAAAATAAGCCCCTCCATGTATAAGCCCCCCAAACTCATAATGCAAAAAACCCTCTGTTAAATCGCCCCTCCAAATTTTAGCCCTCCAAGGGCTTGTACTTGGAAATTGCCCTCAAATACAAAGTAAAACAAAGCAAAAACGGTAAATTTCCTTCCAACTATAAGGCTAGCCCAATCGATTTTGAAATGCAAATTTCCCTCCATAGATAAGCCCCTCCAAAAATAAGCCCCTCAAAAAGGGCCTTTGAAAAATATAAGCGCCAGGGCTTATTTTCAGAATCTTATGGTATCTCTTAAAAGGGTTTGTATTATTAAAAATAGTTTTTCCAAAAGGAGAGGTATGACTGGCTAAATTTGGCAGAGTGAACTCCATGCTTTTTTCATTCTCAAACATGGGCTTTTGTTTGTAGATTTAATTTAATGGAATAAATAAACTGTTAGGACAGTATAAAGGCTCGTCATCATGTTATGGCCCATTGATTAGCTTAAATTGCTGGGCCAATGTCCTGGCATTTCCAAATGATATTAAAATGCTGTCAAATGCTATGCCCTTTGGGTGTCGACCCATAATAAAAGGGGTTTCCAGGCTGTCAACCCTTATGTCTGATCTTAATTCATCTGATAACTGCTGAGGGACAAAAACAATGCCCTATACCCAGACAAATTGCCAAGCTTGCACATTGGAAACAGTGGGAGAAAGTTTTGTGGCCTGTACAGCAGTCAGCATATCATGTCTGGGGCAGAGCCACTTGTCCAACAGTTTAAATTTTGATCAATTTCTTGGACTTCCAGAATGTTTATTGTGTATATGTCCCACCACCAAAGCCAGACAAATTTCCTTGCAGGAAAAAAAAACAGTTAAAGAATGATGATGATGATTATGATGGTCTCTAAATGATAGTTCTTTGTTTTAATCCAAAAGTGATTGTTAGAGGCCTGTTTCTCTCTCTGCCCTGTTGAAATGTTCCTCAGTGTCAATACAGTGAAGGGTCTCAGGCTGTGTTGATTTTCTGTCGCAAACAAGAAGAAGAAGTAGTGCTGCTGATGCAAAAATAGTCACTGCAGAAAAAATAAGAGACGGGATGTAGGAATGGAGACGATCTGTCATGAAACCTGAGGAAAACAAAAGAACAAGTTAAAGGTCATTGTTTTAAGCAGAATTTGCCAGGAGGTGGTGACCAGATTATAAAATCACCAACTACCTATAGTAACTAGCTTTATTGCATTTAAACTATGTGGCCTGTTTTGTACAATTATGTAGTCATGATGGTTAAGAAGTGTTTTACCATGTAGATGTTCTTAGGGTTTCCTCGTGCATTCCTGCCCCACAAACATCTGCTGAAATGAGCGGTTAAATTCCTTTCCTATTGTTCGCAAATGTCAGCTGGAGCTCACGTGCTGACTATCGTAGAACCAATCGGTGCTGTTGAAGTCACAGTGTTCACAAGCCAAACACAATGCACAAGTTCGGTAGAGTGTGAAACGTGACCCAGGAATGCAGAAGGTCCAGGATCAAGACTTGGCATCATACATTGTTTCCTTAAACAAGAAACTCTGCTCACTTTGTGAACTGAGTTTTTCAATGAACAATTAGTACAACTGTTCCAGGTGTTCAGATAGTGGGGGTGGCACAAAGAAAATTGAGTTTATAAAACCATCTGAACACCTGGAACAGACTGTGGGATTATTTTTATGATATCATCTTAAAGCTGAACAGTATTTACCCTAGGATCAGTGGCCCTTCGATCTTGCTAGATAAGTCAGGGAGTATCTAGAAAGATCAAAGGGCCTCTGCTTACAAGGTAAACAGTATTTGACACCCAAATTAAAATATTAGGAGCCCCTAAAAGCTACTGATTTCAAATGTAATGGGGGTCATAACTACATGACGGTATTATAACTTTTAAATTGTGGCATATTAATGATTCAGTTACTTCTGTGGCTTGGTCAGTCTCTACCTTTAACTGATACCTACCTGCTAAAGCTGGACCAGTTGCCATGGTAGTACCATAACAAAGAGAACTTAAACCCATGGCTGATGCTTTCAAGCTTGGACCTACTGACATCAATATTTGAATGTAAAAGGTACCTCCTAGAACACCATCTGCCAAACCAAACAGAAATGAAAAGGCTACCAGGTGTCCATAAGTTTTTGCTTGTGTAAGAAAAATGATATCACATCCATCAAGAATAAGGCTGCCCATGTAAACATAAACTGGGTTTACACGTTGCATGTTACATAACAATCCACTCAGTAGACGACCGATGAATGTGGTGACCCCAATGTAAATAAACAGTCTTGATGCTGCATCAGCTGACACATTAAGACCCTCTGAAAATCTCACCTGCAAAAGATGTCATNGATGCTTTCAAGCTTGGACCTACTGACATCAATATTTGAATGTAAAAGGTACCTCCTAGAACACCATCTGCCAAACCAAACAGAAATGAAAAGGCTACCAGGTGTCCATAAGTTTTTGCTTGTGTAAGAAAAATGATATCACATCCATCAAGAATAAGGCTGCCCATGTAAACATAAACTGGGTTTACACGTTGCATGTTACATAACAATCCACTCAGTAGACGACCGATGAATGTGGTGACCCCAATGTAAATAAACAGTCTTGATGCTGCATCAGCTGACACATTAAGACCCTCTGAAAATCTCACCTGCAAAAGATGTCATAAAGCCATGTTGTTTTGTAAACTCTGTCAATACGATAGTGGCTATATCACTGTAACATGAAGATTATAACATTTCTTTGCAGGAATTAGGCTCAGTCAACAGACAAGTTTCACTTCAGCTTAACGTTGTTTAGCATCATTTTTCCGTTTTTCTGTACTGGATTAATTGCACAATCGATCTAAGATTAATGTGCAATTCAAACTCGGAAACATGCGCCCTGCTACTTCCTGGCTATTGGCACTAGCCAACATTTTCCTAGACCAAGTTATTGTGATCAAAGTTTGTCACTCTTTTACTTTTAAATCTGTCAGCAAAATCCTCAAATAAACCCCTTTGGCAGGACTTTGTTTATTATGGTGCTTATTCATTTCTTTCGATCTCACTCTTTCACTTTAAGGCAATTAAGTGTGTATTGCTTTCACTGTCCACTTATTTTCTTGTGCAGTTAGATGGTGCCGATGGAAGTTGAAGAAGGAGGGCAATGCCCTTTGAGAGCGGTGTTTATTTGAAAGTTGGACACAACAGAAAATTGTTTTAACTTTGGCTTAATTCATTTCTTTCTCTATTAAACTTAAGGAACTCTCTATTAAACTTTGGATTTAGATTCTTTCAGTGCCACAGAGGTTAATTTTGGAGTGGTGCTTACAATATATTGTTGCATTTTCCCTTTTTTCCAAAATGTGGGCAGGCTTAACCAGTGGCAGCACTTATTCATAGTAACTATGGTAATGCTTTTCACACACCCTTGCCCTTCCCTTTTGAATGTCTGCCTGTCAGGCTAAATGGAATCATCCAGAAAATGAATGTACCCTGTTTTTATTATCACTTCTTCTGTCTCGCCTAAAAACTTTGGTTCACCTCCCTTTTTCACATCACATACAACCATAATTAAAACAGATGAATACATGGATATGATAGTTAAACCTGAGTTGACAAGTGAGAAAAGCAAGTAACCCTTGCAATCTGATAAACAACAATGATTGACATTATTTTATTAAAATCATTTAACACCGCATAATTAACTGTTCAAGAAGTGTATAATATTACCCAGTAATTTATAGTCAGATTTAAATCATGTATCATCACATAGTTTATGAAGGCTAAGGCAAACTAATGTGATACCTCACCAAAACAGTGACATAGTAAAACTTAACCTGTGTAGCTGGCCAGATTATTATTATGCATGGGGTAAATTTGTGGTCTGCAAAGCCACGTGGGATTTTCAATTTGACTTGCTCTCAGACTTCTTGCAGCTCTGCCGCCAAAAAACAACAGCACTCCCCCTTTAATCCTGCCAGCTATGCAAGGCTAACTAACAACTTACCAAGTGAAGACGTGGAATGCTATGTCCAAGGTTGCAGAAAATAGCACTGATGGTCAATACCACAAACTGCTTATTCTTGAAAACAGAGCAGTCAACAAACCATCTTTTTTTCTTTGCATCATTCTGCTCTTGCAAATTTTCAGATTCTCTGTTTTCCTCTTCACCCTCTCTTTTCTCTCTACCAGTCTTAACCTCGGTAGGATCAAATGTCAAACACAGAAAACAAACAAGTGAAAAGATTCCAGCAATAATGCGATAAGTCTTCCTCCAGTGAAAATCATTTAGTAATACTTGAAGAATGGGTGCCACTGCAAGTACACCAATTCCACTTCCAGATGCAATTATACCAGTTGCTATGGATTGCCTCTTGTTAAAGTATAAGGATGTCACCACATAACATGAAACAAACATGCAACTGCTTCCAAACCCAAAGAGGACGCTGTAAGTTACATACAAGATGGTAATACTCGTCGCAAGAGATGAGAGCAAGAGGCCACTGACGCATGATATCCCACCCACAAATGCAGTTATGCGACAACCAAATCGATCCACCAATGATCCAGTCAATGGGCCAAGGGAGAATATAAAAGCTAATCCAACTGAACCAACCCAGGCTGGAAGAGAACAAAACAGTCTTAATCATTGTGCTGTTACAGTTTCGGGGTACAGTCAAACCTGTATTATGCGACCCTCTTTTACTCGGTCACCCTCCATTAAGTTGTCACTTGCAATATTCCCAGAAATAATTTCCCTTAATTACTGTAGTTATTTTTTTTATTATCTTCACCTCTATAAGCGATCATTTTGGCAAGATGTATCATACTTGAGTGCATCAGACACACTGTGTATGGCGATAAGTGGTTCTGTCATGGGATAGAGATTTCTCTCTTTAGCCATCTTCATTTTCTTGAATAATAATTCTTGGTATTAAATGGTCAACCTGTATTAAGCGGCCAGTAAGCCTTTCCCCAAAAAGGGTGACCGCTTAACACNGTCTAGTAATACTTGAAGAATGGGTGCCACTGCAAGTACACCAATTCCACTTCCAGATGCAATTATACCAGTTGCTATGGATTGCCTCTTGTTAAAGTATAAGGATGTCACCACATAACATGAAACAAACATGCAACTGCTTCCAAACCCAAAGAGGACGCTGTAAGTTACATACAAGATGGTAATACTCGTCGCAAGAGATGAGAGCAAGAGGCCACTGACGCATGATATCCCACCCACAAATGCAGTTATGCGACAACCAAATCGATCCACCAATGATCCAGTCAATGGGCCAAGGGAGAATATAAAAGCTAATCCAACTGAACCAACCCAGGCTGGAAGAGAACAAAACAGTCTTAATCATTGTGCTGTTACAGTTTCGGGGTACAGTCAAACCTGTATTATGCGACCCTCTTTTACTCGGTCACCCTCCATTAAGTTGTCACTTGCAATATTCCCAGAAATAATTTCCCTTAATTACTGTAGTTATTTTTTTTATTATCTTCACCTCTATAAGCGATCATTTTGGCAAGATGTATCATACTTGAGTGCATCAGACACACTGTGTATGGCGATAAGTGGTTCTGTCATGGGATAGAGATTTCTCTCTTTAGCCATCTTCATTTTCTTGAATAATAATTCTTGGTATTAAATGGTCAACCTGTATTAAGCGGCCAGTAAGCCTTTCCCCAAAAAGGGTGACCGCTTAACACACAGCTGAATATATATAGGTTTGACTGTAGTTGTATTTATTTATTTACCAAAACCCTGTAATAAGTGTGAAGGCATGCATCAGGGGCAGATGTAGGGGGAGGGTGCAGGGGGTGCACACCCCCTCCTCTCCTGAGATGACCTGCGGTTTTCTAATACAACTGGTATTCTGTGAAAAAAAAAACTATGTGGTTTATTGGTGTTGAAGTAGAGCAAGAGACGAGTGCACCCCCTCCTAAAAAAAATCCTGGATCCGCCCCTGTGTATGGTGGCCAACCTGTTGACGTACTGTACTCAAGTTGGACCTGTCGATCTGGATGTAAATATTGTGGTTCAATTTTATTCTTAATTGGTTTAAATTATATTTTCCTTTGTTTCAAACTGATTATCATACACTACCATGCCCCAAAACAAAGGATAAAATTGAACCATAACATAAATACCATCGCGTTGTTTCCTTAGATCCACGAAGCTTCTCTCAACGTTAATTTTCTCTCGATCTTAACCGAGATGGTACCAACAACATGCCTCGGATGTGGATTGACTAAAGTGATCCCATATATGGATAGATTCTTAACTTAAAATCGCTTATTACACGCTTCTTTGACTTAAAACGCGCTCGATGGCGGATCTAAAATACAAGTCATATCCCTCCTAAGGTCACCAACCTTGCTTGACGTGTGGATTTTCCGTCGAACACATCAATGATTTTCGCCTTGGAAAGTAGGATACACGAACACTGCAGAAGCAACAGCTAGCAGATTGAGATGGTACAATAACTAATATTACTTGCCTGTCCTTTCGCACGTTTCGTGAAAATAGTCCATCAACACAGGGAAGAGAATTCCAAAATTTAGAGCAGTTCCAAGAGTTAAAGCGATGATCAAAAAGGCACAGAAACAAACAAGCCAAGAATAGGGGCTGTCTGCCTCCTTTCCAGACCTTAAATTTGTGCAGAAAGCTCCACAAAATGCCATCACACTCCTTGCCTGCTGCATACAGTGCACGATTTGGGGATAACTGACTAAGGACACATAGTAGTAGTAGTAGGTCCACATCAGCTGTACAGTTGCTTATTTCAAACCTACTTATCAAATAAATGTATGTATGCATGCATCACATACTCACACAATCGCTATACCTTATTAACAGGAGTTTTAGGGGTTTTACGAAAACTAAGACCTAAGACCTAAGACCCGTCTTAGATTTTAGTGACGTCACCCCAATATCATTCCGGTCTGTTCTACCCATGAACTTATCATATGATCGAGGTGGCACAACTTTGGTTCACGAATTTTAGTATCAGTACAAGGCTTTAAAACACGCAGCGTCACAAGGTACAGTACGTATCACAAAGTATCACAAGGCATCACAAGGTATCACAAAGTATCCCAAGGCACCACAGAGTATCACAAGCGGTCAGTGTAAAACGCAGACTGCGGACTGCAGACTGCAGACTGCGGACCTGGGATAAAATGCAGAGAGAGTGTAAAATGCAGACTGCAGACTGAGAGTAAAACGCAGGCTGGGTGCAAAATGCAGAATGAAGACTGTACTCCTTCTTCTCCAAATAGCTAGCTGGTAATCAGTTACACACCTCGCTTCCTAGTCGAAGTACATTACACATTCTCGCCAAAAGTTCAATGAACATCCAAACAGCTAAAGTCTGCGTACCTTGATTTTCAATCCTTTCATAGAAGGTCATCCAAATTTCNCGGTCAGTGTAAAACGCAGACTGCGGACTGCAGACTGCAGACTGCGGACCTGGGATAAAATGCAGAGAGAGTGTAAAATGCAGACTGCAGACTGAGAGTAAAACGCAGGCTGGGTGCAAAATGCAGAATGAAGACTGTACTCCTTCTTCTCCAAATAGCTAGCTGGTAATCAGTTACACACCTCGCTTCCTAGTCGAAGTACATTACACATTCTCGCCAAAAGTTCAATGAACATCCAAACAGCTAAAGTCTGCGTACCTTGATTTTCAATCCTTTCATAGAAGGTCATCCAAATTTCCTGCAGAACATCTTCCTTTGTTGTTAAAATGATTTACTCCCTTTGTTATTAGCCTGTGTACAGACGTCCCCCTTCCCTGTACACAGGCTATTTTTTATCGCCATAATTCTTTTGAATTCTTTCTGTACAGTATTTTGGGTCAGCAGCTTTTATTTAAGCGTAAACATCATTGTGTTACCAATTCACGGTCACGTATATCGAAAGTTGAAGCGTGATGTCTCTCTGACGGAAAGAAGGTTAAAGATTGCGATTACTAGCATCTTTTCGCGTCGTCGGTGACGTTCCAGAGCGAGGAAGGAATGGATTTGTGAAAGGAGATGTCAAGTAAGTGTTCGTTTACATGTATTTGCGGGATTGTTTTGCCCTTAATAAACCCTTCCGCGAGTACAGTTTATGCTCGGTCTGCATTTTACCCCAGCCTGCGTTTTACTCTTAGTCTGCAGTCTGCATTTTACACACAGTCTGCATTTTACCCCTGGTCCGCAGTCTGCAGTCTGCAGTCCGCAGTCTGTGTTTTACACACAAGGTATCACAAGGGATCACAAGGCATCACAAAGTATCACAAGGTATCACAAAGTATCACAAAGTATCACAAAGTATCACAAGGTATCACAAAGTATCACAAGGTATCACTAAGTATCACAAAGTATCACAAGGTATCCGCACAAGGTATCACAAGGTATCACAAAGTATCACAAGGCATCACAAAGTATCACAAGGTATCATAAGGTATCACAAAGTATGTATGAAATATTTTTCAGGGTTAATTGGCGTGCATGAATTTTGTTTCATTTAATTTTCCGGCCCTAACCTCCCCCGCAGGCGTTTTTAGGGGAGATACGATCTCCCCTAAAAACGCCTGCAGGGGAGGCTAAATTTTCCCTTGCGCAAAAATTTTTTTTGTACTTCGCCCGTCACCCCCTTAAATTTTGTAATGGTCCGTCCCTTATAGGCAAACCGTTGAAACACTAACTTGAGACAGTTGAATTGTAACTATTTTATCCCTTTGAAAGTACATACATAAGAAATTCGGAAAAAAAATATGTCATAAAATCAATCAACAGCTAAGCAACAAATCAGCGCAACGAGGGGTGGGGGAGGCATTGTGGTGTGGTCTTAGGTCTCCAAACATTCCATTCACCTCTTTCTGAATTTTCTGGATCCACCCGTGGCCATGTTAACGCTCACCTGTTTTTCTGTTAAAAAATGTTGTGTTAAATGATTGTTATCATCAACAAACGGGCTCTTTCAGTAAGAGTACAGTATCATAGTCAGCATCTGGGAGGACATCGGACCGTGATAAGCCTTTTTTTTACAGTTATTACACCTCACAAGGTCGATAGAAACGTGAGTATCTCTCTGCATGTCTGGCTTGTGCACACTAGAGCTAGGGATCAGACTATCTCTGTATTGTAGATTGCAAAAAACATCACATGCTTTTATTCGCTTGTCAGTAAATATTTTGTAATTTATACGCTACATTGCCATATGTGGAGTAATTGTAGATTCTTCTACAGGACTGACACCGCTTGGAGACCTTGATCCACTCAATCCGTAAGCAACCACATCACATTGATTGTTTATAGAGAGAGTGGAATTCTCCCAGACCAAGCACATAGAAGTCGGAGGAAGTAAAACTTCTCTTTTCCTGTGCAGTTCAGAAAAGACGTTTGACACAATCAAAGGCATCAAAATCATCTGCGACGTACGGTTGGCTTAAACTTTTAGAAGAGACGTTTTCGCGCAGAACAGCGCAAGAGTGAAGAGGACTTCCAAAAACTCACGCATTCACTTGCCACAAGCCACCTCTCTAATGTTATCGTGTTCCCTCTAAAATTCCAGAAATTCTCAACGTTGATCGCGACAAACTGATCAAATAGCCGCTGGACATTGACTTTGTGTCGGACTAATGTGCTCTCAAAGCAGAAACGGAAAATTCAGCAGCCCCTTTCTTCGACATACTCCCAACTTCTGAATTTATCCACTGACGATCACTGACCATGACAACAATCATGTAGAGTTTTGCACGCTCTGCTGAACCCACCGCAAACAAAAGAGTAAGGACGAGGGGATTAAAGTTATTCTCATGTGTGCATGAGTATTATGATGGGGCTTGTAACCTCATCATTTGTACAAAACTTGGAATTGTCATACTTCACCTATGGTGCTCTTACAGGATTGGGCGCTTGTGTTTGTCGCACCTCAGCATTTCTTGTAGTTTCTATGTACTTTAACAAAAAGCGCTCTTTTGCTACGGGGAGTGTTACAATGGGGCCTTCATTAGGAATGTTTATGTGGGGCCCTATTGCACAGGTTCTTCTTGATTCAGTTGGTTGGAGAAATACTTTTAGGATCATGGCAGCATGCTGCTGTCTGATTATTATTGCTGCTGTAACTTATAATCCTATTGTGGAAGAGAAAGACAAAATATTAGAGAAAGTTGAAAGTAGAAAGGAAAAACGTGAACTAGACAATAAGGTAAACAGTGCGATGCTTCAAACCAAGAGGGAAAAAGGAAAAATTGTTGATTTATCTGTGTTCATGATACCTCAGTACTGTATACTGGTGGCGTCATTTCANATGTACTTTAACAAAAAGCGCTCTTTTGCTACGGGGAGTGTTACAATGGGGCCTTCATTAGGAATGTTTATGTGGGGCCCTATTGCACAGGTTCTTCTTGATTCAGTTGGTTGGAGAAATACTTTTAGGATCATGGCAGCATGCTGCTGTCTGATTATTATTGCTGCTGTAACTTATAATCCTATTGTGGAAGAGAAAGACAAAATATTAGAGAAAGTTGAAAGTAGAAAGGAAAAACGTGAACTAGACAATAAGGTAAACAGTGCGATGCTTCAAACCAAGAGGGAAAAAGGAAAAATTGTTGATTTATCTGTGTTCATGATACCTCAGTACTGTATACTGGTGGCGTCATTTCACTGGTCATTTACATTGATGTTCCTGTGTCGCTTTATTCCCAATATTCATTTGGTAAGTCATATTCATTGTTACTTTATGGTATTATACCATATAATGACAAAGGTAGTACTCGGATACTCCCTTAGCTTCCCAACAGAGTGTACCAGTTTCGTAAAGTATTTTTGATGTAATATATATCAAGGCTGGATGATATGCCGTGTTTCATCACCAGATGCGTTTGAGAAGTTCTCTTTACAACCACTCTATTAAGTTACCAGCTCTAGTTATGACCAGCATGTGAAACCCCAATTAACCTCAATGGCTCGAGTTCTGTAATGGAAAGCTGTCGTAACTGACTGTAGAAATTACTTTTTGTTGAATGAAAGCATTTCTTAACTTCTTGATCAAATTTAGGGTTCCATAATACATATTAGCACTAATATAACTAGTGTTTCGTTAACTTTGCAAAATAAATTAATAAAATCAGATCTTTTTGATATTATTTTACCTGTCATAAATGTATGGTAAACAAATGCCATAAGCTTTTGCTGAAAGCCCTTGCAAGTGACCAGCCTCAGTAAGTTTATCTTCTGGTCACTTAAGAAAGCCCATGATCAGCTGTGAAGTTGGGACCACTATTGGATTCCGGAGGCAGTCACTTACAATAGGGATCTTTCATTAAAAGTATATTCAATCAAGTCTCATGACTGAACTGCAACATGCATGCAATGCAAGTATGATAAAGGGTGTAAATGGTAACTCTTTTTGGCTCTAATGATAGTAATATTATATTTCAGTCCCAATGCAGTTAATTTTAAATTTCTTTGACAAATGCTCCAGTCTGTATTTGATGTGTCTGGACCCATCCGATCCAACTTCCATATTCCAATCCACCCATTAAGTATAGGCACACGATTCTGTCATTCTTTTTTCTGTTCCCTTAATGGCATGTTAAAAGTTTTTTGTTTCTCCTAAATCTGTTGTATTTCAGGTTAATTACAGTGAAGAGCTTAACATCACAGCCGAGAAAGCATCCAAGTATTACATGTTTTTAGGCTTATCATCTGCAGTAGGGAGACTATTATCTGGAAGACTGTGTGATGTCAAATTCATCAACATACAAAATGTAAACCAACTGGGAATTGCAATTACGGGCATGGCTACTGTGCTACTACCACTGGCCAGAACTTTTGTTTCTGTTGCATTTTACACTGTGGTTTTTGGGTTTGCTGATGGAGCATTTATGACAACATAAAATGTAATTATTCTTAGTATTGTTGGTCCTGAAAGAAGAGCAACAGACTTTGGTTTTGGAACTATGTTGTGTGCCTTTGCAGTGGCATCTGGTCCCCCTTTAGCTGGTGAGTGATTACCCCAAGGGGGGGGGCTCCAGGGGTATAGAGAGAAAAGCGCAAATACAATGGTAAAATACCAACAGCCACATGGCTTCCTCCTCAAGAGACGCGAAATGACAGGTTTTGAAATTCAGACTAGGGGCATATGTAACCCCCCCTCCCCCCGCCTAAGAGGACCTCATTGAAGTGTCAATGTATATTGAGCACAAAAGTACTAATTGAGGACAAACCTTTTTTACTTGGTCATCCATGCCATGCAAAGGTCCACTAATTTGCAGCGCAAAGGTAGTACCTTCATTTCTCAGTTAATCAGGGAATTGAACCTACAACCTCAAGTCAAGCACTCTACTGACTGAGCTAATCTTCCTGAAGTAAGGGTATTGAACCTTAGGTTGGCTGCAAAGTATATAGCAATCTAAGACTTCTATACTTTTTTTCACCAGGGCTTATAGCAGATAAACTAGGCTCATATCAGTTTGCCTTCTATGCAGCTGGGTCATTGATTCTCATCAGTGGAGCTGTACAGTTTCTTCTTCTTTGCTTCAAGTCAACTGCTAAAGGTAAACAAACACAAAGGCAGCTTGTAACCATGGTAACTTCAGAAAAGCTTGGGAACATGACGGGCGAGTGCACAGATAATAAGGAATATTTAGCAAGTCTTTATGTGCAGTCTGCACTAGAAAAAAACAATGGAAAGACTCCTTTAGTTCAAGCTTTTAATTAGTGTTAATTCAATTCAATCTATTTATGGACAAGAAATGCATTATAATATTATTTACATATACCTGTACTTTACCATTATTTATATCAAAAACTATTACTAGAAATGAGGTATTAGATTTTCGAACAGCCATTCACTTATTCATCATGCTTAACATAGACAGTCCTGTCCCGTTATGGGTTTCAATTGCTAGAGTTTTACGGGGAATTGCTTGGAAATAAATGGCTTGATAATAGTAGTAATAATATTATAATACCATGAATTAAAATACTAGTAGTATAAAAGTATTATTTTGTATTTAATTTCATTTGATAAAATAGCGCAATAACCTTTCTGGTAAATTACCTACTATACTTATAAAAATATCATTATTTGTTCGGAATCTATCATTAAAACTGGCCCCATAATACATTTTTTTTGTTTTTAAATAGATATTAATTTTTTGACAATAATCTCATTTGATAAAATAGCAGTATCAATAACAATTTTACTCTTTGTCTATAATAATCAGTTTGAAAATTTTTAAAATTATCTCTGACCTCTCTCTTAAATAAATGAATTTTAAATCATGATACTTTGTGATACTATACACACAAGTCTCTTTAGTGTAGACACCTAAGGTGCAGAGCCAAGTGACTGTTTTACAGACTGAGGTATATTTTGTAGAGTTATTAAAGCAATGTATGAAGATTAGTACCGTAAAATTCCGAAGATAAGCCCCTCCATGTAAAAGCCCCCCAAGCTCGTAATGCAAAAACTCCTCCGATAAATCGCTCCTCCAAATATAAGCCCCCCGGGGGCTTGTACTTGGAAATTGGCCTCAAATACAAAGTAAAACAGTTGAAGAATGATGATGATGATTATGATGGTCTCTAAATGATAGTTCTTTGTTTTAATCCAAAAGTGATTGTTAGAGGCCTGTTTCTCTCTCTGCCCTGTTGAAATGTTCTTCAGAATCAATACAGTGAAGGGTCTCAGGCTGTGTTGATTTTCTGTCGCAAACAAGAATAGGAAGTAGTGCTGCTGCTGCAAAAATAGTCACTGCAGAAAAAATAAGGGACGGGATGTAGGAATGGAGACGATCTGTCATGAAACCTGAGGAAAACAAAAGAACAAGTTAAAGGTCATTGTTTTAAGCAGAATTTGCCAGGAGGTGGTGACTGGAGTATAAAATCACCAACTACGTAACTAGCTTTATTGTATTTAAACTATGTGGCCTTTTTTGTACAGTTATGTAGTCATGAGGGGCAAGACGTGTTTTACAACATAGATGTTCTTAGGGGTTCCTCATGCGTTCCTGCCCCACAAACATCTGCTGAAACGAGCGGTTAAATTTCTTTTCCATTGTTCGCAAATATCAGCTGGAGCTCACGTGCTGACTATCAGAGAACCAATTGGTGCTGTTGAATTCAAAGTGCTGACAAGCCAAACAAGATCAAGCTCGCAAAGTGTGATACGTGACCCAGGAATGCATGACGGACCCCTAAGAAAGTCCACGTGGGAAGCTAAAAACACCTTAAATTTTAGACTTTGGTTCAGAAGGTCCAGGATCAAGCCTTGGCATCATACATTGTTTCGACAAGAAACTCTGCTCACTTTGTGAACTGAGTTTTTCAATGAACGATTAGTACACATCTGGGGTTACTTAACCTGTGGCGGTGGCACAAAGAAAATTGAGCAGATAAAACCATCTGAACGCCTGGAACAGACTGTGGGATTATTTTTATGATGTTGTCTTAAAGCTGAACAGTATTTACCCTAGGATCAGCAGCCCTTTGATCTTCCTAGATAAGTCAGGGAGTATCTAGAAAGATCAAAGGGCCTCTGCTTACAGTGTAAACAGTATTTGACACCCAAATTAAAATATTATTAGAAGCTCCTAAAAGCTACCGATTTCAAATGTAATGGGGGTTATAACTACATGATGACTGTATTATAACTTTTAAATTGTGGTTTTACTGATTCAGTTACTTCTGTGGCTTGGTCAGTCTCTACCTTTAACTGATACCTACCTGCTAAAGCTGGACCAGTTGCAATGGTAGTACCATAACAAAGAGCACTTAAACCCATGGCTGATGCTTTCAAGCTTGGACCTACTGACATCAATATTTGAATGTAAAATGCACCTACTAGAACACCATCTGCCAAACCAAACAGAAATGAAAAGGCTACCAGGTGTCCATAAGTTTTTGCTTGTGTAAGAAAAATGATATCACACCCATCAAGAATAAGGCCACCCATGTAAACATACACTGGGTTTACACGTCGCATGTTACATAACAATCCACTCAGTAGACGACCGATGAATGTGGTGACCCCAATGTAAATAAACAGTCTTGATGCTGCATCAGCTGACACATTAAGACCCTCTGAAAATCTCACCTGCAAAAGATGTCATAAAGCCATGACGTTTTGTAAACTCTGTCAATACGATAGTGGCTATATCACTGTAACATGAAGATTATAACATTTTTTTGCAGGAATTAGGCTCAGTCAACAGACAAGTTTCACTTCAGCTCAAAGTTGTTTAGCATGATTTTTCCGTTTATGTATACTGGATAAATTGCACAATAGATCTAAGATTAATGTGTAATTCAAACTCAGAAACATGAGCCCTGCTACTTCCTGGCTATTAGCACTAGCCAGCATTTTCCTAGACCAAGTTATGGTGATCAAAGTTTATCACTCTTTTACTTTTAAATCTGTCTGCAAAATCCTCAAATGAACCCCTTTGGCAGGTCCTTGTTCATTATGGTGCTTTTTCATTTCTTTGGATCTCACTCCCTCACTTTGAAGCAAGTGTGTATTGTTTTCCCTTGGTTTTCACTTTCCACTTATCTTCTTGTGCAGTGTGATGGTGCCGGTGGAAGTTGAAGAAGGAGGGAAATGCTGCTGAGTCCCTTTTCTCTCCCTTGCATTTTTAAGAAAATAGGCGTAACTACCCTTTTCACGCCTCAAATTTCTCTATTAAACTTAAAGAATTAAAATCTTTGGATTTTGATTCTTTCAGGGCCACAGGTTTGTCCTATACGCTCTAACCAATCTAAACCCGCGTAAGGCAGCTGGACCTGACGACATCGGTAACTGGCTTTTGAGGGAATATGCAGAGATCCTCGTACAGCCTATCACATCTATATTGAACGCGAGCTTTAGAGAACAAAGGCTTCCTGCCCCTTGGAAGCTTGCGGATGTGGTGCCTCTCCCAAAGCAAAAACCCGTGGTAGATGCTACTAAGCACCTGCGTCCTATCTCCTTGACGCCTGCTATCTCTAAGGTTGCAGAAGATTTTGTGGTACTCAGATATGTCGGTCCAGCGGTGTTGCAGATTATAGACCCGAACCAATACGGCGGTATTCCAAGATCCTCCACCTTGTACGCTTTGATATCCATGGTACATAACTGGTCACAAGCCACTGACGCCACGGGCGCGGCTGTTAGAGTGGTACTTTTCGACTATCGTAAGGCTTTCGATCTTATTGATCACAATCTGCTGGCCAGAAAGATCGAAGCCTTGGACATGCCACGGTGGGTTCACGTTTGGGTGCTGGATTTTCTGTCAGACAGGAAACAACGTGTCAAGCTGTC